ACAGGTGGGTGGGTGGATAGAGGAGTGAGTGGATGGATAAATGGATAATGGATGGCAATATGGGTGAATAGATGGGTGAGTGAATGGATGGATAGGTGGATGATGGATGGATGATGGATAGGTGGATGATGGATGGATGGATGATGGATGGATGGATGGATGGATGGATGATGGATAGATGGATGGATGGATGATGGATGGAAGGATGATGGATAGATAGATGGATAGATGGATGATGGATGGATGGGTGGATGGATGGATGGATGATGGATGGATGGACAGATGGATGGATGGATGATGGATGGATGGATGGATGGATGGATGATGGATGGGTGGATGGATAGATGGATGGATGGATAGGTGGATGGATGGATGATGGAAGGATGGATGGATGATGGATGGATAGATGTATGGATGGATGGTGGATGGATGGGTGGGTGGATGATGGATGGATAGATGGATGATGGATGGATAGATGGATAGATGGATGATGGATGGATGGATGAATGATGGATGGATGGATGGAAGATGGATGGATGGATGATGGATGGATAGATGCATGGATGGATGATGGATGGATGGATGATAGATGGATGGATGGAAGGATAAATGGATGGATGGATGGATGGATGAGTGGATGGATGGATGGATGATGATGGATGGATAGATGGATGGATGGATGATGGATGGATAGATGAATGGATGATGGATGGATGGATTATGGATGGATGGATGGATGAGTGGATGGAAGGATGGATGGATGATGGATGGGTGGAGGGATGGATGGATGATGGATGGATGGATGGATGGATAGATGGATTATGGGTGGATGGATGGATGGATGGATGGATGGATGATGGATGGATGGATGGATGATGGATGGATGGATAGATGGATGGATGATGGATGGATGGATGGTGGATGGATGATGAATGATGGATGGATGGATGATGATGGATGGATGGATGATGGATAGATGCATGGATGATGGATGGATGGATGGTGGATGGATGGATGGATGATGGATGGATGGATGAATGATGGATGGATGGATGATGAATGGATGAGTGGATGGATGGATGATGGATGGATGGATGGGTAGATGGATGATGGCTGGATGGATGGATAGATGGATGGATGATGGATGGATGAATGGATAGATGGATGATGGATGCATGGATGGATGATGGATGGATGGATGAATGATGGATGGCTGGAAGATGGATGGGTGGATGGATGGATGATGGATAGATAGATGCATGGATGGATGATGGATGGATGGATGAGTAGATGGATGGATGGATGGATGGATGGA